AAAACAGACCAGCAGATGGCGTAATGATTGCATTGTTGGACCCCCACATGGTCAACCATGGTACGAATCCCAGCTGCTTCAAACTCATGTTGGGCGCATGTACATGTGTGCCCAAAATCCCAAGAGGAGAATGAAGGAGAAGGGACTGCGGTGTGACCATCCCCCCAGTGGTGATTTCTCGCGTTGTTTCTCTGGTGAGTGCACACACCCTATAGCAAAAATCTCTCTCTCTCTTAAAAAAAAAAAAAATCAATCCCAATCAGAATTCCATTTCAGTTTTAAGGGTATTTATTATAGTTAAATGATACAGGTTGCAACAGTTACACCTGTTACCCCAAAATATATTTGCTAAAAGCCTGATTTTATTTTTATCAGCTATTACAGAAAAGCTTCAAAATCATCATAGAAAAAAATGACCATTTTCTACCAGTATGCAATTTTTATTCCATCACAACCAAACTAGTTGAACACAGAACTGTTTCAACAGAAAGACTGTTTCATCATAATTTATCAAGACAAAAATCAGCCTGCAACTACACGAGTTGGAATACACACTATGCTCATGTTGCAATATACTCCTAAAAAATCAGAATTTAACCCCCCCATTCCTTAGTTCATCTAAAATCTACTTTTGTGAAGATCTGCTATTTCCCCCAGTCTTCCAGAGAGAACACTGTAGAACCACCTCCAGTCAAGAAGGCACAACTCCTGGGGCTCAGAACCACCCCTGACTCACTAAAGGTACTTAAATAACTGTTGGGTGAATGAATAATTGTCTGCTGACAGCCCTGCCATGAGGTCTCACAAAGAAAAAAATTCCGAAAGAAAAAAGCAACTTCACAGACAAAATAGGAAAAAGTTAAACAGATACTTTGTTCACTTGAAGAAGTCAGCATTTGATAAAGATGAAGACTGGATGATTGGTTCACCAAGTAGCAGATACACTTGGCTAAACAGGCTCTAGACCTCTTCCGCCCTAAAGTTAAATATAAAAACAAATGTTTATGAGCCAGTCTCACAGCACAGCGCCCAAGAAATTTGATTGCACATGGCCAACCAGGGTCCAAGTCTCAGTCCCCATGGTTTGAAATACATACCAGGGCACACATACCCAGGACTATGCTGTGATCAGGTCCTGGAGTGGAGGGGGGCATTCTCCTCTCATGCATGCACACACTCTCTGGCATAAAATAATCAACGAAAGCACAAAAAAAAAAAAAAAAAACATAGGAGGGCCAGCCAGGTGGCATGGTGGTTAAGGTGGCTGTATCCCACATGGCTGACTACATAATAAGTCCTAGATCCAACAGCTTGAAAAAGATCCCAGGAGCACATGTATGCCTGCCCCAAATCCTGAGAGGAAAGTGGAAGACAAGACATTGTAGAGTGGCCATCCCTCCTGGGGGTGTGATTTCTTACTTTCTTTCTCTTTCTCTCTCCAACAAGCACATACACCCTATGGTAACAAGATATAAAAAAAAAAAAATCAAAACTAAAATAATTTTTAAAAGCAGATGAAAAACACAAGACAACTTACCTATAAGATTCACTTGTATGAATACAGTACATAATCAATTTTTTTGAGAGGTTTTTGCTATAGGGCGCGTGCGCTCGCCAGACAGACAGAGACATAGAGAAAGTGAGAACTCACCCCCCCAGGGGGGATGGTCACGCCACAATCCCTTCTCCTCCATTCTCCTCTCGGGATCTTGGGCACGCACACACACGTGCCCGGCGTGAGTTTTAAGCCACCGGGTCCAGGACGCGAACCACGGTCGACTACGTGGGAGTCCAGTGACATAGCCATTACGCTAACTGCTGGTTCCCCATAATCAATTTTTTAAAGAAAAAAATATGAATATTGATTTGTTCTTAGAATAGGAAAGGACTTTGTAAATATAAAAAGCAAAAGGAAAAAAATCACAATAGCAATTTGATATATCAGTAAGACAAGCAAAATCAAAAAAACATATGACAAAGTAGGTAAAATATCTCCATCATGACAAAGAGTTAATATCCTTAATACACTAAGAGTGCTTACGAATCACTTTAAAAAGGAGTACCCTGATGAAGAAAGAATGTAGAGGGAACCCCCAGTTAGCGTAATGGCTATGTTGCTGGACTCCCACGGAGTCAACCGCGGTTCGCGTCCCGGACCCGGTGGCTTTGAACTCATGCCAGGCGCGTGTGCGTGCGTGCCCAAGATCCCGAGAGGAGAATGGAGGAGAAGGGATTGCGGCATGACCATCCCCCCTGGGGGGTGATTTCTCACTTTCTGTCTCTATGTCTCTCTCTCTCTGTCTGGCGAGCACACGCGCCCTATAGCAAAAAACCTCTCCGAAAAATAAAAAAAAGAAAGAAAAAGAAAGAATGTAGAACATAAACAGGCAATTCACAAAGACTAAACACAAATGGACAACAGTTACTGAGGTTCAGCCTCAGTGATAATCCAGAGAGCCTCAATTTAAAAGATGGAGATCCAAATCTGAGAGGACATGGAAGACAGCACTTTTGCAGGCTGTTGTAGGAACTGGGATAGCCATTTTGAAAGGTGATGTGGTGGTACCCACCAGCAACTGCAAGTCTAGGCAGCCATTCTTCAAAAAGACTGGCAACATGAGGAAGTTCAATTCTGCAGTATTTTTAATAGCAAATCACTTGGAAAACCAATAAGGAGATGATGATAAATGAGTCAGAAAATCCACAGCAGACTATGCTGCTATTTAAAAAAAGTGAGGCAGAGGTAAATATATGAGGTAGAGAGATGCAGAATCCTGTTTGTTAATGCAAAAAGTACATATTCGAACAGTCTTAGAAGATGTAAAAGGAGGGGCCGGCAGGTGTATGGTGGTTAAGGGTGCTAGACTCCCACATGGTCGACCGCAGTTTGAGTCCCGGATGAGGTGGCTTGCTTTCTCACTTTTCTTCTCTCTCTTTCTCTCCCCCCTCCCTCCTACTCTGTCCCTCTCTGGCCAAATTAAAATAAGTAATTAATTGATTAACATTAAATAAAATAATTCTTAAAAAAAGAAGATATAAAAGGATGAAGCTCAGGACCAGCAGTCAGCGTAACAGCTATGTCACTGGACTCCCATATCGTCAACTACAGTTCGAGTCCCGAACCCGGTGGCTTAAACTCATGCTGGGCATGTGTGCGTGTGTGCCCAAGATCCAAGAGACTGGAGGAGAAGGGATTGTGGCGTGGGCATCCACCCTGGGGAGTGATTTCTCACTTTCTGTCTCTCTGTCTCTCTCTGTCTTTCTGGCAAGCACATGCACCCTATAGCAAAACTCTCTCTCTCTCTCAAAAAAAAAAAAAAGATTAAGCTCTTAATAATGGTTATTCTGGGTAATGAGAATAGAGTAAGGGGAAATTTCTATTTTCTTACTTGATAAATTTCAATGTGGTTTGGTTTTCCCATAAAACTGTGTGTTATTTTTATAATTTTTTAAAAAATGAAACCAAAAGAAGATACCAAGCTTTTATCTACTAAAGACAGGTTGTGTCCTTTGAGATTCCCTTCAAAGTTCCTCGAAGCTCAAATGGCCGTGTATTTCCATTCATAAGTAATAAGAGATTTTTAAAAACCTCTTCCTTTCTGTATTTCTCAGGAAAAATTAAATAGTGTTACCACTGAATTTCATTTTAGAAAATCCATTCAGAATCTGAGGAAAAAAGACTATTAAAAACACAATTCCCCCCTCCCCACTGGCCTAACATCTACCAGAAGAAACCCATTCACTGCCCATATCACATTTAGTTCACACAATTTCTGAGACAATGCACAAAGCACTAGCCATACAGCTCCCACCAGCATAAATACTTAGAGTACAAAGAACGTCCTATAAGCAGGGTCCAGAGCACACCCCGACAATGTGAGTCACAGGATTGGGAGCAGGACCAAATTTGGAATTGGGAGGCAGTGATATGGTTTACATTTCCTTCCATACCTTCTATTCTCCTCTATCCAAACCTTGCCCTCTCACATAAATGTTAAATGGGCTATTTCTTATGTATATCTGTAACAGTTTTATAATGAGTTGTCAGAAACTATTAGAGAAACAACAAAGTGCTACTCGGGGTCTCAGTGGGAGTCACAAGGGCAGCATATGTGAAAACTCACATTTTTCCTTAGGGAAAAAAAATGGGAAAACTCAACTGAAACCACATGGAATTTTTGAAATCCAGGTGTCAAAATATCAAATGTGGAATGACCAATGATTTAAAAACAAACAAACAAAAAAACAAAAACAAAACTTGAGCTTAAGCCTGACAGTTGAGAAGGTAAGGAACCATTTAAAAAAAATTAAGCTGATACAGCATCTGAGTGTCAGGTTAGAATGACTTGGGTCCCTAGTTTCTCAAAATTCATTCATCCTGCCTTGCTCTGGAGTTCCAAGAATAAGACATATATGTGGGTGCTCTCTCTAGTCCCCATGGGAGGAGTGCAGCAAGCACACACCATTAGCCATGGGTGCTACTGTTCTGTGACATCTTTCAGGAAGGTGTCCTTCTAGGGGACCATACACCAGTTTCCATATATGAAAATGTATTACCACTGCTCACTAATGATGACCAATAAGTCATTTATCCAAAACCAAAACACACAAGGCACCATGCTGAAGACTACTAGGCAACAGCAGCAGCGCAGGTGGAAAAATTCAGTTCCAGCACTCTTGGCTCAGCTGACCTGCTTCAAGGTGAACTGAAGTTGCAGATCACCAGTTCCGGCTCTAATCTGACGCCCGCCCCCAGATCACACTGTGGCTACCAAGTAACCCTACCCCAACTGACCTTTCAGGGCTCAGGGAAGTGACTTTTTTTTATTATATGGCACAGTTTGGCACAGTTGTCTTTTTAGTCTTTGGGGTACTTTTATACTGTCCAAGAGTAGTATCTTTTTTTCCTTTATTTTCTTTTCTTTTCTTTTTTTTTTTTAATAAAAATATATGGCCAAACCAGGACATATACTAAAAAAAAAAAAAGGAAGGTTACTTACCTGAGCCCTAACATCCCAGCTACCATGGAATCCTGTTGGAGCTGGTCTACAGAAGCAAGGTGTATTCTGGGGAGTCACATGTCACATCAAAGCAGGAACTGGTGATTCTGTATTTTTATGGAGCCTAAAACAAAGAAAATCGTAAGTTGAAAGCCCCCATTGAGCTGCACAACCTTTTTCCCAGGGCTATTTGGGACACTTTGAAGATAAACACATAGACAAAGTACTATGCTATTTCCCAGCATACCTAGCCAGAAACAAACAAACAAACAAAAAACCCTGCAAATTACTAGCACATAACACACAGTGCTAAAATAAAGGAAAGATTCATGCTTGTTAGAATTGACACTGTCACAGGTTTTGTCACTTCTAAGGGGTACTTTGACACTACGAAGTATACCATAGTGGTGATTTCTGGCAAGCATTTATTCCACCACATTAACAAAGAATACTCAGGGAGAAAATACATGTTCAAGAGAACATGCAACATCAAAATATCACCCCAAAAAGAACACGCAAAATCCAGGCACAGTTTCCCTTTTTAAAGCAGTTTGAGTTACAACAAGCTGCTATAACATCACATCAAGGGGCTTTAACCTTAGACAAAAAAAGTGGCACCAATGGAAATCAAGGGCCCTGGGAGATCCAAAGCCATCATCCAAAAATATGCAAGTCTGTATTTCAGAGCAATCACTTGTAAGCCTCTCAGATCAGTAAATCTGAGTATTCAATAAACTGAGTTATTAGTTTGATAATTTCCCTTCTGCTTTTGAACACATGTTCAAAAAAGGACTTTTGCCATTATGTTCGTCATTTGGATAAACAGCATTTCCTTGTTAAAACCTAATGCCTTGGACCAGCAGGTAGTGGAGGTTAAGGTGCTGGACACTGTGTGTGCGTGCCCAAAGACCTAAGAGTTAAAGACTGCAGCATGGTAATCCTGTCAAGGGGTCACTTTCCCTCTGGTGGCCCTATGGCAAAACCCGAGATAAGCAAAACAAAAAACCCCCTAATGTCTCATATTAGCTAATCTCTGATATCTTATTGGCCCAAGAAAAGCAATTTTATCCTTAGACTAAAAAGAAAAGCTTAGCGAGTACAATTTAGACTATTCACACTTTAACTCATATAATCAAACCAGAGGAAGGGCAACAACCATGTGTTTCATTGCTGGCCTATAGCTACCAGAATGGTACCCAGAATTACCTTTTGAGGTTCGGCAAGGTTTCATAATCCCCTTAAACAAACAGTCACATCATAGAATGTTTTGAAATCCCAGAACTTAACAATATTACTGGGTTGACCATACATTAAAAATAAAACTGGTATCCTGGCTGGGAGGCCCTAGAAAATTGACAACTTTGCACGGCCCCAAGTTTTTTTCCTTGTAAACTGGGGGAGCCAGACTTAAGTTCCTTCCAGCTCTTAAAGTTTAAGATCTTTGATTAACTCAAACTTTCACAAAAAGGGGAGGGGGCAGAAAATATGAGCAGAAAATAACATCACATAAAGGTTTTCATAATCCCCTTAAACAAACAGTCACATCATAGAATGTTTTGAAATCCCAGAACTTAACAATATTACTGGGTTGACCATACATTAAAAATAAAACTGGTATCCTGGCTGGGAGGCCCTAGAAAATTGACAACTTTGCACGGCCCCAAGTTTTTTTCCTTGTAAACTGGGGCAGCCAGACTAAGTTCCTTCCAGCTCTTAAAGTTTAAGATCTTTGATTAACTCAAACTTTCACAAAAAGGGGAGGGGGCAGAAAATATGAGCAGAAAATAACATCACATAAAGGTGGTATTCACTTTTATAAAAGAGTACGGGTTCTAGGACACACCATTTATCATGCAAATCTTCTCGAGCACATACATTAGCAGGCTCAAGTATGAAACAATTTTACCTCTGCTGTTCTTTATTCTAGGTTAAAGTAGTTTTCACTTTCATTAGGTGAAAACCCAATAAAGCAGGTCCATATATAAAATGCCCCCGTCTCTTGGGCAAGGAAGACAAGTGCACCCTTCGTAAGGCTGTCAGCTTCAGAGGCAATAATGAGAGTCCAGACATCTGCAGTAACTGCAAAACAGCTACACATTTCAGTGAGGACACATTCATCCACCAGCAGACCCAGCCTGTGTGCACCTTGAAGAAGTTATAAAAGCCAGGGCTTTATTTTTTCACAGAATGGTCACAGCCCACCCTTTTATATGGAAATGGGGATGCCCTGCCCACCCCAAATTCCCATTCCCACTCAGTTATCCCACACACCATACCTACCATCAGAGTGGTGGCACCAAGTATTTAAGTAAGGACATGCAAATCAAGTTTTCAATAAGAAACTGTTCCTTGCAAGAGAAAGGCAGAAGAGAACAGGTAAAGGCGGAAGAATACAACTTTGGTGTAAGCAAGCACAAGAAAGAGACCCTTTTACATTTGGTCCTACACAAAACAATGTAAAGTCACAGGGGTTTGACTGGACAACAATTTGACTGAAAAGGGTCAGTATGCAAGCACTGAGGACAAGGTCCTTCCGTTGGTGTGGTGACAATGCTCTACCAAGAAAAAAAGATTGTGTCTGCCAGCCACATGAGACTGGTCTGCATGGATGTCACCATAGCAGAGAGCAGTGAAGACAAGCAGGTGTCCTGTCACACTCCCTGGAACTCACCAGTCTAGGGCTATGCTTTACTGCTATGTGCTTAAAACATTGGTTACTAAACATTTTCCATGATCCTCTCTTATAGTAACTGACGCAGCCTGGTGACAAATTGCTCCTAGCCAATTAAAAGATTCTTACCAACATTCACCTTTATAATATCTTTATAAAAAATTATGGGTTCTAGGGCACATAATTTATTATGCAAATAGTCCCAAGCACATACATTAGTGGACTCAAATAAGCAGCTAATAACTTAATCTCTGTTCTTCTTTATTCTAGGTTAAAGTGAGGAACTTCTCCTTACATCTCTACATGGGGGAGGGAATGTTCTGGTGGGAGCACTATCATACTAGACTCATCTAAGCAGTTTTTCTTTCAAACTCCACAACTGGCCTCCCAGCTTTACTAGATTAGATCTCACAGGCACAGGGCAGGGAACGGGAACGATGACAACTCTGGCTGGAAATCAAACACATACACATAGAATACAAATTGCTTAAGAAAAATAGAAAACTGTACAGTAACCCTCCAGATACACAGTAGTCTGTGCCTTGCCCCAGATCCACCTCAGAAATCAAGCAGCACAAAAGTCAGAAAAGGGATGGATGACTTTGTGATTCTCTCCTATCCAGTGAAAACAAGTCCTGGTATTCTAGGTTTAAAGTATTCCAAGCAAATTTTTAATAACAGGAAATAGGAAGGTGTGATAGGCCGGAATTAGCTAGAAAGTTGTATATGGTTTTCTTCAAGCAGTTAGAACACAGTGACTTCAGATGACACCAGGCACTTTGCAGAGAATAGATTCTGGAAGTCGCCTGCACCATTTAAAGGGCTAAGGGTATCAACATTTAACTTGAGAGGCACCGAGGAGACATATTGCCAACCACAAAAAACAACAGAGACCTCAACTTCCATGTCTCAGGCTCAGATGTGCAAACCTCAGGATCTCTGTTGAGTAAGACTGTGTCTGTGTGAATATGAATGTACTTCAGTGGACAGCTACCTAGTTGACCTGCCACGAATGGGTGATCTGTAGCAACTTATTTTAATAAGCTACACTTCAACTGGATTGATTGTGCTCTTTAAGGTTGTTACATATCTGGGGAAGACAATAACACCAAGTGTTCCCTAGGCTTCCTGACTAGGATTTGAAGTAGAAATCCTGAAAAACCCGTAAGTAAGCCTATTTCCCTAAAACCTGGGTGGAAATTCCCAAACGATCTAAAAAATCCAGTCTATCTTTCTATTGGAACCCAACACATTTCAAAGATCCAAGAAGTCAGGCTAAGTAGTTATTAACTGAAATTGCTGAGATCCAGATGAAAACTCCAGCCACGAAACGTAAAATTCTCCCTTAGAGTAGTAACCGCCTATTAGTGCAATTTTATTACTGAGGCCCCAATACATTTTGTTTTTATATAATAGCACATATAATAAAATGCCTAAAACTTGTCAGAGTACCACAATGTCGAAGCCACTTTGCATCGCACACCAGTAGGTTCGGTTCCACAATCACCAACCAATTCCTGAATTTGATCCTATCATCTCACTGTTAGGGTTACTGACCCCAGCACAGTGAAAATACAACATGCAAATGGCTCTGCAGAGCCCATTCCAGTTCCTGGAAAAATAACCAGAAGCACACATCTGCCTGACCATGAGTCAGGAATATCAATTTTGTGGTGGAGCCCACTTCTGTTGTGACCAGCCCGCACCGAACATATGACAGAAGCTACTGCCACAGAGGTAGCCCAGAGCAAGCACCTCCCACCCCAGGGCCCATACTTAGTAATGTCATAAATGATTTCCTCTGAGAGGATATGTTTTTAGACTCTTCACACCGACCTTCAGTCTTCAGTGCAAAACCACAAAAACATTGCCACTGCCACATACAAGTCACCTGAGTTTCAGTTTGGGTGATTCGGTTATAATCAAACTAAAGAGAAGAAACTTCAAGGGACAATGGACAGGAGCCAGAACGATGCGACCAACTTGCTCCCGCTGGTACTGGCAATCCTGAGCGCTCCAAGGCGATGGGAGTCCGTTACATACTATGTCCCACTCCACTTATGTAACTGGAAGATCGCCGGCGGAGGAGGGGGGGCAGGATGGGAGGGCGCTCGTATTCCGGGGCCACAGCACCCCTCAAAGAACCTCTGAGGGCCCTGGGGGCACACTCCAATGAAGAGCCTCAGGTACTGCTGGATGCACAGTCCTCTACCCATGGTTCCTGATGGGAACTAGAGCCACCTCTTCGTGATAAGTTGCGGGTCCCAGGAACACAATGTCTGGTCCCTTTTGTGGGTGGAAAATAATCCCCACCTACTCATTCCCGCTAGATGGGGAAAGGAATTGGTGGACCGACCAGCTCTCGCACTGGGGGCACAAAGTCATGGAACGGGCGAGAAGGAGGGGGAGGCAAAGCCCTGCTATGGGGGTGAGAGCGCAAGAACCCTTGTGGCGCACTCTCCTGACGGGAGGCGAACTGCGCACGCGCGTCAGTGGGGGGGCCAAGTAACGGGAGAGGGGGCGCGCGAGGGAGGGAGAGGGAAGAGCGCGATCCAGGGAGAGGCCGGGGCCGCGGGCGCGCGACGACGCCAAGGCCCGAAGCCCCGAGAAGGGCAGGAGCGCGCGCGGCCCCGACCCGCGGAGCCGCGCG